TTGAAAGATTTCAAAAAAAGAAAAAAAAACGTTCAAGAAAAGTCAGCTGCCATCTTTCAGTCATCTTTCATGAAATGAGGCAAATATATACTATAAAAATGTTTTCCACAAAGTCGAATTTGCATAAAGATGTGCGTGGCTTACATGCATTGGTTTACCTTTTTATATACTCATAAGGGGCTGATTGTGATAACTATTGCTCCTTGTGTATCTGAGGTTTCTTTCATTAAATACAACCATTCATCTAATACCGTGTGCGTGTTTTACATATGTGTGCTTATGTTAAACGTGAACATCAATCAAACCCAAAGAATTCCAATGTCTTTTCCCCCCGTTCACTCCCACTGTCCTTCTGGCAGACCCGGAGTGAGCTGACGGGAAAATTCTGTCACTAAGGCCGATATTAGTCAGAGGTCTCAGAGACCTTCACTCCTCCTCTCTTCCGTCACTCTGCTGACATGTCATCCCACGGTTTCACCAGAACTAATTAAATGTGAGGATGAGGCGGCGAGGACGCCCGCCGACAGCAAGCGTCACCGGCAAGCCCTTCGGTGATGAATATTTCCACTCAAGTCTGTGAGGATTTGCAGCTGGATGCGAGTGCCCTCCAGTGGTCCACTTGTTATTGTTATCTGTCCCCTTAGAAAGAGTTGGTTTTAGATCGGTTGACCGTTGGAAAAGGTCCCTTTTTTTGGTAAAATTCACGAAAGAGGCTAAATGGATTCTGAAATTGTATACAATTCTCAAGGTACTTTCTGAGTTATTAAATATGTTGGTATAGTTAATGGAGCAAGGCATCCTAAATAAACAGCATGTAACTAGGCCTTTTGTGACAATAGTCACAATGTGAATGTGTGACAGTGTTCCAACTCTGTGCAGCATAATGATGAAATGTGGAACCCAAAGTCAAATACTAAGATGCGTTCGGGATTGTCTGACATGCTGCAAGAGAGTGCAATGCTTTGAGAATCAACGTGTCCTGATCAGAAGTTGAAATACTTACAAAGAAGATAATGGAATTTGTTGCAGTGGCTGCAGTTCCACAAAATCACCACCAGGAGGCAAACGCGCCACGGGAAATGGAGAAATATTCCTTTAAATGTTCTCCGTTCAAGTGTATTCTTGCATAACCCAGATTGCGCACAGTAGCTAAAATGTTTAAAGATGTCTTTTTTTCCTGTCAGCAGTGGACTTTTATCACCACGGCAATGTGCCAAAGGCGTTGAATGTGATATTGGCTGTGATGCAATATGCATAAATCAGCCCAGATTAGACACATTAATATTGTAGGAGAAAAAAGTAGTCACAGAGCATTTAACAGAGGTGAGGACGACAATAACTTACAAATAAGCAGTATATGTCGTCGGTGTATATTCCCACTGTCGTTCATGTTCTTGGTGACTAAATTTACAGTTTTCAGACATGTTGACAGCACTCGGTGTGTCCAGTTAATTTACACATGAGATGATCCATTGAGTCCATCATGAATAATCTGAGTGAACATCTGGAACAGAAAACTACTCCTACTATTAAAAAACTAAAACTACTACTTTAGTGGAATTGTTTAAAGTGGACATCTCGCCTTTGTATTTTATGTGGTTGTTTTTTTTTTCTTTTGTTTTTTTAATAACATTTTGTGCTTTGATTGTCCTTATTTCAGTTGTTGCTAGATTTATGTGATGTATGATATGATGTGTATTTACTCTGCCAACCTACTTCTTTACGATTAGTGATGTACTTGATGATGTCATTTTAACCAAACCAATAGCTTGCACATATAGACGAAAAATCACTCTTGTGTGGAGACAATCTGCACATTCTCCTCTGACAATCTGCCCCATTTACAGTTGTTACTTTAACTCGTTAGTGTGCTGGTTGGCCCATAAGCCCATCAGACCGAGAGCCCATTTAGTTTGTCTCACAGTGCATTATTTATCAACAGTGCACCCACTGATATGTGCCGATTCAGGGTGGCTATTGGGGCGCTGTATAAAACACATTTGATCAGTAATATTGATAACCTAGTAAGGAGCGTCTGCATTTTATTCCAGTTATTCTGCCTCATAATGTAGTTTAGATTTCACCAAACTGTACGAAGATTCCTATTCATTATCATCTAGCAACTATTTATACAAACAAACAAACAAATGATATCACAATAGTTTCTACTCTAACAAAAGCCTTCATTCATGTCATTTCCTTTGGGTTGAATGAAGAAATGCTCTCCGGTTGTGATGGAACTACTGCAGCACCCACACACACACCTCAGCTGCCGTTGTCTCCTCTCTGACACACTTAAACGACGCACACGCTCTTCTCACTGACCTGCAGGCGTTCACCATGACAGCTTTTAAATGATGATAATAGGTCACTGTGAGTAACAGTTATCTCACGCAGGAATCAGCTCCCCATCGCTTCACCAAGCCTTACCTTCACCCTCACCCCCTCACTTTATCAACCTAAGGCTGGTACCTAAACAGTGAGGACGAGTCAGAAAAGCCTGATGCTTCATGTCTAATACATTGTAACTATTCATCTGGAACATCCTGCTGTGTTTTGTTTGATATGTGATGAAAGCGGTTCTTTTGTTCACCACCTGATTTATGTTGTGTTGGATCAAGCGTTGGCATGATCAAAGAACTTTGTGTGAAATGGTAGGCACTGAAGTTTTGGGACATTGTTGTCTTTGATCTGATTTTACAAAGTTGGGTTTAAATCGCTTGCCTGCCGCGGCCTTTCTTCTCCTCACGGTGGTTTGGGTTGCTGATGTCATCAGACGGATTATAAGCCCCTGTAGATAAGGACTGACTGGCCTGTATTGAGATTGATCATCGATATTTTATGCAAAGCTGGTGTTGGTGATAATTTGATTTTTTACTAACGATGGCTGATCAAGTAACAATGATGATGATGATGATGATGGAAAAGGGAGCTGAGCTGCTGCGTTTAATGATGATCAAAGCCATTTAGGGCGTAACATTTGGCAGATAGGCGCTAATAAAGGTACAAGTGGTTTCTGCTCAGCATGGATTGTCAACATGGGACAATTAAGGACAATGACAACAGAAAAGAAGGTATTGTTCATCTTTAAAAGACAGCAAAGCCCCTTCTGAAGACACCACAGACTTTCAATGCTATTTGTATCTGTTTCTACGAGCTAAATGGAAAGATCAGACTTCATGTAACTTAATGGAGGGGTGCCAGTTCTGCATAGATAACAGGATCACCCATGGAGGTTCCTGAGACATACATGCATGCGCTGCTAAAGAATTAAAAAGGTCGGTCACGACAGAATCATTTCTGCCGCCAACTGTTAAGGTTTCGGAAGCTCTCGAGGGAGGACTCAATCCTTTGTTCTCGTCCCGGCCGGAAACGAGGACACGAATGAGTCAATTCGTTTAAATTCAAAAATCAAAAGTTATTTAATAACTGAACAACGTAATAGGGATTACAATTACAGAGTGAAATACTAAGCGAACAGTGGAATATTTCGCGAAATAGAGAATCCTCTGAGCAAGTCTGAAGGGACTTATCAACGCGGCTGCAGGAGAAGTTCTAACAGTCTTTCCCCCGCCATGGTCCTTTGAAAACTCTTGAGGTGTGTCTTCTTTGGTGCATTTGAATGTCATTGGCCTCTTCTCCAAAGGGTCACCTCCTCCATTGTCCCTTCCACGTCGAGGTGTGAAGCTGCAGCTGTAACCTGAAACCTCACTGTCCTAGCTGTCCCTCACACTCCAATGCACTCAATGTAGATACATTCGGCTTTATGCCCCAATGAGTGAATTTAACAAAGCATACAGCGTTTAAGTCTTCATCTTATAACTAGTACACTTTCATTACAACAACCCATCATTAATGATCACCGTTCATCACACTTCAAAGATCTAAAACAGTTCATGTGGTTCAATTCTCAAGACATTTGCCTCAGTCGGCTGCCTTGAAATAAGTTGTTCATTTGTTACCTGACAGGAGAAAAAACTCCCAAAAAACCCTCTCTGGGGATAAAATTGGGAGAAATCCATAAAGAACGGCAATTGGCATCCGTCCCCAGGTTTTAACATCACATTGTGACAGAATGTTAATGTGTACAGTGTTTATATGATTTAAATGACTATGAATTGTGTTTGATTGAAATTGCATTCACTTCATCTAACATGTTAACGTAATAACTAATATCTAATAACACACAAACTATAATTCTATCACTAAACATTATTACACGTACTACAAATTCCCTGACTAGGGGTGCACTTCTGGCTTAAATCCCTAACACAACCTGCAGTAGATTCCACGGCAACACCAAAATGCTTGGATCTTATTTCTCATTGAGTATCCATTTATATTATTTGATTATTTAATTTAAGCATTTATAGAAATAAATAATACTACAAAATCAAATAGTTTGATCAATGGCTGCCATGTTGGTCAGTCATACCAGAATGTAAAACGCATGCATTAAACCATAATACTGCATTAAATGTTCTGTTTGGTTTTGTTTACCTTTTAAATCATTTACTGTTGTTTTAGGGTTTTGTGGGGGGGGTTGCAGTTGCCTCATGTCTCTTTTTGTCGTTGTTGTTGTTTCGTAGTTCATGTGCTTTTTTTGTTTTGTAGTCCTCTTTCTTAATGGAGATTACAATCTTATCCTTGTAGCCATGTTCTCTTGACCAAGAGCCCCCCTATAGCTCCGTGGGCCCCTGTGCCCACTGCCCAGTTCAACAACCCATCAGTTAGCATCACTGTGACTGCTTCACATGTCCTTACGAAGACGATTCCATTCATTCCAACCAATCATTTACGTATTAAATACGAGCCAATGGTTCTAATTTGCGATGCCAATTGGATGCAAATGTATCTATCGAACACCCATAAAGAAACAAGCAACAGATCCCGTGATTGGATCACTTGTTGCCTTTCTTATTGGCCGACTCAGCTGTCAGTCCGAGGCCGCACTTGCTGGTTCGTTCCAACCCATGACTTCACGCCACTAATCTGCTTCCTATGCAGCAGCGAGAAGATTGTGTCGCAGCGTCTCTTTGCGCTGACGAAGCATCAGTCGGAACACAAGCTCTCTCCCCCTCTCTCCCCCTCTCTCTCCCTCTCTCTTTGAAAACCCGCACCGTGCTCGTCCCCTGCCGCTGCAGGGCACCATCACGACGGAGCATCTCGACGCGTGCATGGAGCTCCCACTGCGGTCGTGACTGCCCTCCGCCGCCTCTCACTGCGTTGAACGTTGCCGCAGCATCCCCGCGCCGCCGCGGCTCTCTCCTCCGCGGCCATGGGTACCGTCCTCTCCATATCCCCGGCGACCAAGAAGGCGTCCATCACGGACGCCGAGCTTGCCAAAAACGACAAGAGCCTCAAGCGGCACTCGATGTTCGTCTCCCTCTCCTGGAAGAAGCTGGTGTCCAATTCGGCCAAGAAGAGTGCCAAGAAAGTGACCCCGAACCCGCTGCCCGCGCGCGACCTCCCGTCCGGACAGGTGGCGCAGCTCAACAGCGAGAACAGCAGGAAGACGCACCGCGCCGAGGAGAAGAAGCCCAAAGCGCCGATCCCGGTGCCGGTGCCCACGGTGCCCACGCTGAGCAAAGAGGCCCTGGTCCAGAACGGGAGGCTGGTCACGGTGCAGAAGCAGCCCAGCAGCCTGTCTCTGGTGTCACCCAGGCGGATAGTAATACAGGCGTCTACCGGGGAGCTGCTGCGCTGTTTGGGGGACTTCGTGTGCCGCAGGTGTTTTAAGCTGAAAGAGCTGACCAGCGGGGAGGTGATCGTCTGGTTCCGCAACATCGACCGGACTCTTTTGCTCCAGGGGTGGCAGGACCAAGGCTTCATCACGCCGGCCAACTTGGTGTTCGTGTACCTGCTGTGCGAGGACACGATAGCGGACGGCGTGGAGAGCCCGGCCGAGCTGCAGGGCACCTTTCAGACCTGCCTGTACCTCGCCTACTCGTACATGGGCAACGAGATCTCGTACCCGTACAAGCCGTTCATGATGGAGGCCAACAGGGAGGTCTTCTGGGAGACGTCGCTACGGATCGTCAACAGGCTGAGTGACAAAATGCTGCAGCTCAATGCGGACCCGCACTTTTTCACCGAGGTCTTCCAGGACCTTAAAAACCAACGAGATATGAGCGAGGCCAACCTGGACCGCTGACCAACAACAACAAAAAGACACACACGCACACACACACAAGACAAGACAACACAAGACCAGTGGGTTTTTTTTTTTTGTAAGATGAATGTTTCGCAGAATCACACAACGGTGGTTTTGAATGTAAGAGGCCGACGTGGAAGGCTTATCGCGTCTGGGCTGAATCTCTCTCTCTCTCTCTCTCTCTCTCTCTCTCTCTCTCTCTCTCTCTCTCTCTCTCTCTCTCTCTCTCTGCAGCTTAACGGTTAGGCTGCCGTGTACTACATGCATGCACGCGTGTAATTTTTGGTCCTCTTTTGTCTTTGTCCCCGTTGGAGTGACGCGGGGATGGACTCCGGGGGGCAGATCACATCCTAGGGGACGCTCACCCCCCCCCCCCCCCCCTTCGTTCATTTCATAATTAGCCTAGGTGTGTACATGTGTACGTGTGTGTGTGTGTGTGAGAGAGAGGTCGAGAGGTGGAGCTGTCCGAGGTGCTGACCCGTGCGGCCGTTTGTCCTGGTCTGCCTGCTATTTGAGTCGCCTCGCCACAACAGAGCCAAGCCTGGCTTAAGAGGACCAGAGCGAACCAGGTACACATTCAGCACATAAGCCTAAGCCTTGTAAGTACAGGTATATACTGCATAACGTGCTTTTTTTAGATTCTCTACCAGCTAAGTAAGCTGTTCAACACGCAGCAGATGACCCTGTTGCTATAAAGGGGAGAAAACACGTTAGTTATCTGGACATTCTGCTATTGATGACAGAGGTCTGCTGGTGATGTGTGTCTTCATACCTGATTAGAATGTAACGTAGTTCAGCTTCTGTGATCCAAACGAGCAATCTTACCTGTAAACCACCTCAAACTGAATTTAGATGAGTTATGTACGTAACATTGAATGGGCCGGCGGTTCAAGCTCGACGTGACGGTCGTCTGGGACGTGATAAACTGCAGGAAATGCCCATGAAGCAGGATTATTAACGCAGGCCACCTGTTGTGTGTCGCTGTTCGATACGCTGCACAGGCCGACGTAACTAGAGACCAAATGGAATGTACAGATTGTAAGAGATTGTTTTAAAATCTCACACGTGCCAACTATCCACTACTCCTGGCCTGAAAGCTTGTGGTTTGCATATCCCACATTTTGGATGCGCTGTGTGTTTCATTTGTATCTGCCTGTTTTTGAAGGCTGCCGTCCACGATGTGGTTCAAGCATTACGCAAAAGGAAAACCCGAGAGCGAAGCGATCAACTCGTTACATCTGGCCCCTCTCTGTAAATGCGGCGTGAGCCTCGGTTTGCTGGGTTTAAATCACACTCAGCGCCAGTCAGTTCAGAGAGGACGTTTCCTTCACGGTGTAAATAAATATTGAATTGAATTGAACGCTTCGTTATTAAGTGACTATCATTTGCACACGTCATTGCGATTTGACTCCGAGCTTATAGGGCAACCGTGACAGTAATTATTCAGTATTATGCTTGTAAGTGATCATCGTGATGTCGTGTTGTGAGTCCATTGCTTGGTCAGTGGAATATAATGCTGCTATTTTGCACAGTCGTGAACAAACATGTGATGTTTTGCACAGTGGTATAACATGAGGGTTGTGTACCGGTGTCTCCCCGTCAGGCACTGAAGTGTTCTCCGTTCATTTTGCAGTTAGCATCAACAGGTTGTGCTCTACAAAGAGCATATGTGAACTAGATCTTTTGCACACTTTTCTTTCGTGTCAATTATGGAAAGCGATGTTTAGATGTGCCTGTTGTCTGTGGTTGCACCAACGTTTGCATTCACTATATGTTAATTAAAAAGGTTCAATGGAGTAAGTGTTTATGGTGACAATGATGAAATAAAATCCAAACTACTGTCGCATCTCTTGTCTCTCACTCATTGTTTTGTTAATTTAATACTTCAGCCTAATGTTTATGTAAGTATAATGTTTATACAGTATTATATAGGCACTACTTATTGCCCATGTTTGCACAAATCTCTGTCACTTTGCTGAAGTAGTAATTATCTGGTACATCCTCTTATCCACTCGCTCCGCCCACTAATCCGTTGATTCGCAGGGAACCCTTGAGACGCGGTTACGCAACAGAAACAAATCCACGACGAATATGGTCACTGGGATGCTGCCATAGGTTACTATGGGATTGAAACCCGTTGTTATCTATATTTATTCATATTGACACAACGATAACGTGGGAGGTTTTATACACAGGGCAAGTAAATGGGTGTTTAAGTAAATGGAAGATATATACATGTGAACAGCACCATTTCTCCCTGGAATGCTTTGCACTGAGCATAGTGAAGTAAAAGCTCTCGCATGAAGGGTATTTTTGGTATCGGTGCGTCCTGGTTATTCTGAATGAGGGCACGGGCCGAAACGGGAACACAGGGACCCAACGGTGACAAAGTCCAATATGTTTGGAGGGGTGTGCATGCATTATTCTAATCAAAACGTGTCTCGCACTTTGATGCACATCACTAATCGTAATTTTAAGAGGTGCACAAAATCGAGCATGGATAAATTCAATACCACCAGTCCGTGAGTCACATTTTACACTAAATTAAAAAATATATTGGTACGTTTCAAAAGCTTTCACGTTTTGCAGTATTGATGCATTGATGTCATACGCTGTGTGACATAATGGAGCTGAATAGAAACAGGTTTTCCCTTGATTTTTTATGAATAAGACACGTGGGATGGAGGGCTCCTTCATGTGATTGGTTAGAATCTGCTGCAGTCTCAGGACCGTCTGTTTCTCTCTCTCTCTCTCCCTCTCTCTCCCTCTCTCTATCTCTATCTGTGTCTGTCTCACAAAGACATACACCATCTATTTACAGAGCAAAAGCAAAGAAAGGCAGTCAGAAATGGAACAGGAGGGAAACACTGAAAGGTGGAGAAAGATGGAAGGGGATGGAGGAGTTTGTATTACAGAGAATAGGATCAAAGCCACAATGTCACATCAAAACTATTCAGAATGACAATTGCAGAGGTGAAAAGCTGCGGCAACGATACATTTAATTGTCCCTAACTAATCTATTGCCAATTTTACCATTCAACCACATGTAAACTAAATAGTAGAACTTTCACCAATGAGATCCTGTGAGGAAACAGTTGAGAAAGCGTCAAACCAGTAAACCACACGGCATGATGGTCAAATGAGTTTTCCTGCAACAGTTTATCTTTGTTATGTAACAGCCTCCGGGGGGGTCAATGCTGTGAGCCTTCTCTGTATGATTAAGATTCAACGCATGTCTCCTGCGTATCGGTCTGCCAGCCCGCCTTCTGCAGTCTTCTCCGCTGTGTCTCTATAGTAACGGGTAGGTGAGGGAATGAGGGACGGACGGAATGAGCCGTGCGGGCCAGTGAGTGGGCTGAACCACTGCACGCCACAGACGCACTGAGGCCATCGACAGAAGACACCCACGCCGTGCCGGTGAGCGCCTCCCACTCCTCCACGTCCAGGCACGCCGTCTCCTCTGAGGCACCTGTGTGAGAAACCTCGGCGCCGCTGTGTTTCCATCGCTTCTGGATTTTCTGGATTGAACTGTTGATGCCCTGCACAATCAATGTCAGACTCACGCCTCCATCTAAACATCCTAATCCTGTTTTTTTTCTGGAGGTTGCAGGCCTAAGGTTGTATTAAATGCCACAGGAGAGTCTTTTGTACTGTATTTTTGGTTTTTGATTTCAAATGTTGCAACATGATGTTATCTCCTATTGCCAGGACATCAAATGCAATACAGCGGTTGATGGTGTACAAGTACACTCAAATTGTGTACTTAAAGGTACAGCGTGTGGCCATTGTTGGGTTGGCATCAGTGGAGTATCATTTTCATGAGCCGTATATTTTAATATTGGCTTGCAATTGCAACTGAATTGGTATTTTTCAAGTAAAGGATTGATGGAAGACCAGAACAACCGAGGTGGTTTGTTGTCTGATGACTAAATTATAACCAGTATTTATGCCATCCAAAGTTGACTTTACTGTGTCTTGGAAAAAGGGGATTCCCTCTGACCGTATGTTCATAGCAGCATACGGAGCTCATGTACATTCCTCCACCACCCTGATTGTAATCTTTTTAATCAAATCCACACAAAGTCTTATTTGGGAAAATATCCATTAACTTCAAAGTTCAGTCCATTGATCAGTGGTGTGAGTCATACGTCACGCTACATACTGTGTGTCTTACATAACTATATAATGTTGTGTTTGTATGGCACCTTTTACATTTAAGTTGTTATGCAATATTCCAGGACAGCACAACAATTCCTTCACTTATCACACACCTACACAGTGTGCATTGTTATTTGTCTCGTCATAATTTGCGAGTGAATCACCTCCCACCACACGAATCTGCATGATTATTCATCCATTTATTTTCATGCCAAGATCCAAACTATAGAGATGCTCCAATGCCAGACCATTATAACATAACAGTTCATATTTCTGAAGCAAACCTACTTAATGTACCTAATCTCCCGTCCTCCAGTTTTCACATTTGCCATGTTTGAGATTTTTCAAAATATTTTCCCACTAAAACATTGCTTTCTGTAGCCCGAGGTGTTTTTTAAGGCTTTAACTCGTATATGTGAACAGCTCTCTGCAGAGGATCTACCACCGCAGGGTTCACAGGAGAGCTGCCTCCATTCTCAAAGATCCCACCCACCCCCAACATGGTCTGTTCACGCTTCTACCCTCAGGCAGGAGGTACAGAAGTGCCAAATGCAGGACCACCAGACTAAAAAACTCTTTTTTCCCCACTGCCATTAGAGCCAGAGGACTCTATAACCTAATCCACAACTGGTCTGCACTTTAGCTTGTTAGGATTTCACTTACTGTTACTGTACTGTTAATTTATATTGCACACATTTCGTTTAATTTAAGTTTTTCTTTTACAACCTGCTCAGTTTTGCACTTTTCCTCCTTACCTCATTTCTGCCTTGTCCTTACCTCATTTTTATTTTTTATGTCATGTACATTTATGTAAATATTGTATTTTTATTTTAATTTTAAAATTGGTTGGCTTTCCAGAAAAGGCAAGCACAAGAATTTCAATACACAGGGCAGTCAGTGTGTAACTGACAATAAAATCTTTGAATCTTGAATCTGGATACCCAGTAAAGCTGAACAGCTCCAGAAAAAGCTCCCATACAAACCCAAATGCTAATGTTTCGATTTAAACCTTGTTGTCTCTGTAACAAGAGCAAAAGACATCGGCGTATGTCTGTCCCCCCCCCTGAGTTGTTTTACATCTCCCGTCTCTCCGTTCCCTCTTTGAGTCTCTCACCTTTGCCCTCGTCTCTGCTTCTCCCCTCTCTCTTATTCACAAGTTCTATATTTCGACACCACGTAGGTGTGCTGCAAATTAGCAGAGCCCTCATTACTGCTCTCTCCAGGTGGAAGAATGACTCACTGACTGCAACACCTCACGTCTCCACACAGATCCCACTGACTGCCTCCTCCTGTCCCCTGGTGATGCCCTTTTCTGTGACAGATGTCTGCCTTTCTTCCAAAAATAAACATTTTATGCAAATTTGAGCAAATGTACATGTAGGTTTTTTTAGAAAGTTGCTCGGAGAAACTGTAGCACAACAGCAGCAGGCAATTATTTGCAATATAGAGATGTAGGGGAGCAATGAGGAATGAAGCCACTCTTGTTATCCATTCAAGTTTCCTCCTGCTAATCATACCAAAGCGCTGCAAGATGGCATGCGTTGTAAAGTGACCTGTGGTGATGTAAAGCTTATTTGTTTTGCGCAATATTGGTTAGAGCCAAAGCTTAGGGTTGTGTCAGCTGCAGCTTTGAGACTCACTGCCTTCCCCAGACACAGCAAATAGACCTGAACAAGGATGACATCCAATTGACCAAGACTTTGTCTGATTTGATTCGAATTACCACTCGTCCTCTTTTCTGAACATATGTGCACAGATGTGTCCTTTTTAACAACAAGTGCCACAAAGTAAAAACTAAGATATTCTCCTGTTTTCTCCCTTTAATCCTCCTCCTCCCCCTAATGCTGTCCTCCCGCTCCTCAGTCCTCTGCATTCACACTGTTAATCCTGTGGCTTGCAGCAAAACAAACACCCACCAGGTTTGTTACGCAAGAAGAGAGAGGACGAGTGCTGAGCAGCAACGAAAGATTAGTGGCAGGGGAGTTGGCAGAGAGGACGGTGACAATTACGATGTGTAGTGGAAGTGACTCAATCCCCCGATGGGTGAACAACATGTCCGGGATAAACACCTGCATCGCTCTTCTCTGCCGCCCGACTCCTGGCAGACTACCTGTAGTCTCCCCCTCGAGCTTTACCCACGGTGCTCTCTGTGTCGGCCTATCGTCTCTCGCACTCTTACACTCTCACACACGGTAAGAGAGAGAGAGAGAGAGAGAGAGAGGGAGAGGGAGATTCAGTTGTCAGTAGCGACCCCAAGTCTTTCCCGTTGATATGCAAGACGCATATACGGATGGTGTTGTTGTGAATGGGTAACCAGCTCTGTCTTTCCCTCACACACACACACACACACACACACAAGCATGCACCGGGGACCACACCAACACATCCTCTTTCTGTTTCTCCTTTAAAACGCCCGCTGAAATGCCAAAGTTGGTTTCAATTGCATCTGGGAAGACCTGCTTTAACTGAATGATGCACCTACCTGTGCGTTTGTACATCAGTCTATCATGTTAATCGCGCAATGCATAGATAAAATCTACATTCTATTTGGGAAAGATGAGGTGAAAGATCTCTAGCTTGCCCTTTTGCTGGAGAAACCGCAATGCAGGATCTCCAGGGTGTCGTTCCAATGGACAAAACTTGATGCAGTGCACGTATGGCTGTTTCTGAAGTGGATACGACTTGATTTAGGACTCTAGTGGGTGCCCTTCTAATGTAGAAAACATGGTCCAGGTCTGTCCAATTCGATCACAGTCCTCCTGAGTCTTTTTCCAGCATTAATGAAACGTAATGCAGGCCCTCTAGATGGCCATTTCAGTGGGGAAAAAAGGGATGTGGTGCGATAATGGATGCCCTTCAAACGGAGAAAGCATGGTACGGGGCCCTCTGCTGCGCCCTTCCTGCCAGAAAGAAATTGATGCCATGCACCCCTGGGATCCTTCCAGTGGGTAAAAAGTGAAGCAGCGCACTAATGTCGGCCCCTTCAATCCAGCCCCTTTTAGAGGGCTCTACATGTGGAGAAAGTGGGATGTTTAGCACGAAATGTGGCCTTTGCAAATACATGATGCAGTGCTTTCCAGGCGGCCTTACGTTCTAGAACATGTGCCTCACCACATGAAGCAGGAGCCCTTTTTTATTTGTTTCAACACAGCTCCCTGGTCAGCAAGAGAATTACACTGCTCTCTGGTGGTGCACGCCTGTTATTGGCAGAGCACTACTTTCTAGCTGTAACGGCCATAACACGTATATGTTTTGTGCATTTAATTGCTCGATAATCCTCCACTGTGCGTTTGGTGGTTAAACTGGTGTTTGCTTCTTCAGAGCAAGTCTGCTCTCAACTAGTTATGTAAAGAAAAACAGGATGCGCCGTTGGAAGGGTTGTGGCGCCCCCGTGTGGCTACAACACCTGTTTGTCACCACACCGTGACGTCATCAGCAAACACGTTGAAGAGTAGCCTGCATTAAAAAAGAAATGACTAGTAACCAAATACATAGCAAAATAGAAGTTATCTTTTAATTTAAATGTTTTTGTTTTCTATTTTAGTGATAGACAGTTGCAATGAGCATTTAGGAGTGGAAAAAAAGGTGTGTCACTAATGATAATTATAAATTCAATAGAAACAATGGATGGAGTTTGAATTTTATTACATTTTCAAACGGAAATGTATAGGTGGTTTTGAATTATTATAACTTATACTTTAACTGCTTCCAGTTTAGCCCTTTTCATTAAAATGTGCTTGGCATCTGTCTCAATAGACCGGTGCATTAATAGAGGACTGATACACCAGTTGTTATGTTTTATTCGCAATGGGTATTTAAGGTGCGAGTAAAACTATGAATATAATTACAAATGTACAGTTAAATAGATATTTAGTTGTTTGTTGTTCTATAAATTGGGGCTGACTCTGCTGACAAATCAACGGCTTGCTTCAACATGTCTACCGATTCCAATCTTGCCGTGTAACCACTTTTCATCATAATCATCCTCAGTTTATTTATTACATTCAAATAAGTATGAAGACAAACATATTTAAAAACACAAATTTTGCAGAATCACTTGAGACACACAGAACAATGCACGTGGCGTGTGAGCACAGATGGGATTGTGGCACACTGGTCTTTATATTTTTTTAAAAAGGGCTATCGCCGTATGATTAAAACACATAAGACGTTTTTAAAACATTTTATTTACTTCATTGGTTTTGTATTAGTTTGGCTGGCTTGCCTACAGTAAGAAGCTGTGTGAATGACTGCCGTGTAATCCAATCACAAATCACTTAGAAGCAGCAAGAGCCCGAGCCGGCCTCTACAACAGCATACACGATATTTACAGGTTTCCTGAATTCACAGTTCCTCTCATTCATCATTCAGAGTTTATTTCACACAAACGACGACTATGTTTCTGTACTGGTTTATTTGTATTGCAAGTTGTACTTTCTTATAATAGGACGTTGGGGTAAACTGTAATTGCAAAGATAATATATTTCAGCAGAGCGTCGTCAAGTGGTGATGGCTCAGTGAAAGAAAACAACTGGCATCCTTTGACCACAAGAGGGCGCCAATCGTCCAGACACAATTGGTGACACGCTCACCAAGTTGCAGCAAAAACACCCACCTGTACGTGAAAACGAGCACAGCAATCAAGGACGAGAGGCAGCAAAGGAGCAGACGTGGGTGAGATGTGATAGGTATAAAAACACAGCCTCTGTTTAAATCACCTGCTTTTTAGAATCATTTTTTCGTTAAAAAAAACCCCGCTCTCTGCTATTTTCGAGTTGAGTGCACACGTGTTAAATACCGTGCGTCATTTCACAGGCGGCCCTCGGTGGATTCAATAAATCACCCGCGACACTAAGTCTTGGTTTAAAGGTTAAACTGGGTTAATCCTATTGTGTTTGTTTACGCAGTCGTCAGACGTCTCGCAATTACATGTTTAAATTAATGCTGTTAATTCTATCGTTACGTGTCGGGGGGGGTAGAGATAAATCCTAACCAAGAGAATGCAATATTTGCCTCTGTCGCCTCTCTCCGTTCGTTGCTGTTTTACGGTGTTTGTCGGTAATTTCTCCTGTTCCACAGCCATGAATCGAGAGTCAATTGTAGTGGTTGTTGATGCCGGTCAGGCCGTTGATGCTGTTGACGCAGCTGATGTGGGACGGGGACACGGTGCCGAAGGGCCCCGGCGGCTGGAGGTTGTGGGTGTGATACAGGGCCGACGGAGGGGTGCCGGGCCAGTAGGAGAAGCCCGGCGGGGCCACCCCGGGGGCCACGAGGTTCAGTTTGGAAATCCCGGCGAAGGGAATCGGGGAGAAGTTCCCCTGGAACTTGTAGATGGCCTGCTCCGTGGTGGACGGCTGGCACACCTGCGCCAGGCCGTGGAAGTCGAACTTGTAGGCGTAGCGCTTGCCGTGGACTTTGGTCATGATGTTCTTGTCGTAGTAGTAGCGCAGCGCGCGGCTCAGCTTGTCGTAGTTCATGTTGGGTTTGCTCTTGCGCTCCCCCCAGCGCCGGGCCACCTCGTCCGGGTCGATGAGCTTGAACTCGCCGTTGGTGCCCTCCCAGGCGATGCACGACATGTTGGCGCTGTCGGAGAGGAGCTCCAGCAGGAACTGCCACAGCTGGATCTGACCGCTGCCTGTGTGCACAGTGATTGGATGGAAACGATTAGATTATATAGGGAGATTTTTTTTTATTTTTCTGCAAAGCAAACTAATATGAATGAGATGCATTGAAAGACCCGTCACTGCACTTTGAATAGAAAATGCAGAGTTAACACCATTTATAAAATGTCTTTGCATCCCGAGGAGAACTCTTTCTTCGTCGGATAACATGTTTTTAAATGCATATCGTGTTTTTATTAAAATGCATTGTACTATTATTGTTATTATTATTGATCACAATAAATCAAGATCTTACAGGCAGTTGCAGGTGTTCATCTACGTGTCTGTTAAATCATCAGATGTTTCAAACGTGTTTAGAAACCTGACAGATTTGAATTATTATTCTATCTTAATTTAATATTCTAATTTAGTGTGATTAGTTTTTACGATGAGACACATTTTGAGATGAAATCATTTTGGGGTGCACCCTGTGATGGGGTGAGACGAATAGCGTCAGTAAATGAAATGAAATGAAATCTGTGTCCAATAAACATAATGCAGCTACAAAGGGAACATGCGGACTTTGTTTTATATCGACTATCAATTACAAACCGTGGTTAAATGAAATGACCCTTAAAACAAATGTAATCAAATAATAAATTCATTTTTTAGTATTAATCTGGTAAGTGATTATTCCTTCAAATTTTAAATTCTTTTTGGGGGATTAGCCTCAGAGGCTTTTTCTTTAATAACTCCAGAACAAAACTGCAATTACAAGTGTTTTTCCACCGTTATTATTTAATCAGGAATATTAGTATTGGCTTCTCTCTTGTAATTAAAACAATTCATATAAAATAACGGTGCCCTATGACAATAAGTATAAGGTGCAGGAAATGGTCTTACCTTTTTGTACTCCTGTGTTTAGTGGACCCCAAGATGTTCCTTTGCTTTCCTTCAACAGAGAATCTGTTGGATCTGAAATGAAAACACACACATTGTCAGCATCATCTGTCCATCCCGCCAAGGCCTGCTGTCTAATTCATATCTATCATTTCAGTAGTCGTAGTTTTTTCTTCTTCTTGGAATCAGTTCAAAATACTCTTATTTTCTCATTTTTCTTCAAGAGAGTCAAGAGAACAACTTCCCTGTTTCTATGTCGACGACATTTATTTAGTAGTAACAGATCGATTTAAAAAAAAAAAAAAAAAAAAAAAGGTTGAAAGGGGTGAATTCAATCGCATAAACCTCGTGGACCTGTTTTCAGCGATAAATCTCGTATATAAGTGTTAAAAGCCGCGGTAAAATCAACCGGCCCGGTGCGTTAGACCCAAACCAAATAAAAAAATAAATCACGGCACAATCTCCACAAACGGTCGAATTGATTAAAACTCCTAATCGTATCCTCAACCGGTCGCAGTCGAATGCGAGACTTCGCGTCGTCCCTGCGGTCGGTCTCGTCTCCCGAGAAGCCAGGAAACGCGTCCAGGAAAAAGGATTTCCGATTTCCGACAAAAGAGCACGCGGGCTTCCAGATTGAATAAGCTGAACAATGCGGAGCGTCGCGCGCGGAGCGCGGCCGCCGCCACCGCGCGCGACGCTCCGCACACGCGGCAGAACTCCAAGACGTCGCATGGCCGCCTTTTTCTATCCTTCCTCACGGGACAAAATGACGAACCTGAGAGATACATGTTGAACATGAGGCTTCCTCCGCCGTCCTGTCTCATTGTGTTCGGTGGTTCAGAATGGGTTGGATTTCATTTCGTTGGTGGCGGAGGAAAAGATTTTTATTAAACTTTATCTCATAACTGTGATCTGGAATAAATGCGGGTGGACAGATTGAAGTTTCCAGGCAACTGTCACTGGCCCCCATCTCTGAGACAATATTCAGACAGCAATTTCCCCTGGTGCATTGCTTTAATTAAAAGAGCAATTTACCTCTGTCAGCCCGCCTGGTGCCCACAATAAAAAGAGGCCGATAGAAATTGGGCCCTTATCAATCCACCATCACAGTTTAATAAAGTTTCCGCGTTAAGATCTGAGTTTCTATGGTGAATTGAAGTGTTTGACATGGAAACCAGTTCAGATCCTCCTCACTTTTCTGCCTCTTTACCTCTCGGCAAACAGCAAAGACCTATTTGGCGTTGGGAAAAGAATATTTACCTTGAAAGGGACGCTTCAGTGCACATGAGAAAGCAGGGACATTTCCTCCCCCGGGACCTTCTGTTGGTGGGTTTAAGGTTATATAGCCTCAATTGGGGGTTGTAACTTTAAAACCAAGGCTTCTGATGCTCACTGACATTATCATTGTTTTCCTAATTGTTGTGTTTTCCAGAGTCAGTGGACTGTGTGAGGCTGCGTGGGCTCCATCACCCTTTAGTATATAAACCCTTACTATTAGTCCTTTCATTACAACTGTGCTATTTTGAAGTTTTTCCATTCACAAGGATTTAGAGGCAAATGCAGAAATGTTGAGTAAATAAAACCGCGATCATAGCATTTCATAATTGTTAGAGATTGATTTATATCACCTTTGAATCATAATCAACAGACAATCTCTCTGATATTGTTCAATGCAATCAATCCAGGGCTTTATTGTTATAATAGTTCTCTGCTCTGGTGTTTCAAACAAATAATAATTTAAAGAGATGATTCATTGAATGTTTGTGCGTTAAAACACACCCTGTGCATCAATTCATGTCTTGTGTCCACCAGAGTTCCACTTCATTGTTTCCCTGAATGTTTTCTTGACTATTCCTTCAATGAGAGTGATTGAATCGAGACAAAGCAACAGACTCATTTTAAAACTTTTTAAAAACGGAACGATGACAACACTCCGACAGAAACACAGGAACAACTCTGAAAGGGTATTTTGTGTCTTTTGGCATCCGGTTTGTCCGGTCCAAACGCAATTGTGTCACGACATGAACAGACGCATGATCACACCCTCAGAAAGAAATCATTGTTTCAAAAGAGACGGAGAGAAGAAATCTGCCAACAACACTTTGACCGGAATAACTCATGACCAGTATTTGCACTTTGCACTTAATGTACATTGAGATTAAGTTACACCACGTGTACCCTGCAGAGAATCTAAATCCCACGTTGAACACACAGCCTTGTGTTGACTGAGTTGACAGTAAAATGTGTGCTAATCATTCATATTATTTCAGCCCATATGCAAACTCACATATACCATCAGGCCACATTCAGGTTATTTTGTTTATTCATAGGCTGTTGATTGTGAGGTATCGGTCTCATGATTGTAAAGGAGAAAAAGCAGATGCATCAGATTAAGAAGGCCTTTGAGTGTCTCATTAGTTTAAAGATTATAACTGTGTGATATCACGGTTTCTCCTCACAGACAAAGAGGAGGAAATCTGGTGCAGAAGATCAACGGAGAATTAATTAGCAAATATCCCCCCCCCTCCTGTGACGCTTCGTCCTGGTGGAGGAGATGGAAAGATTCTCCATTCTTCACACGGAGGCGGTTCACCAGGCCTCGGCTCAGTCGGTGTGTCACCGGCGTCCCAGACTTGCTTTAGCTGCCTGTGTCCAAATAAGAGTCGCAGGCAACTTAAAACAAGCCTCGAAAGCGAGACCGTACTGATCCAGGTAAAAAAGAAAGCAGGAGGCAAGAAATCCACTGAGAAAAAGACGAAAACAAGTAATACTGAAACATCATAAAGGCATTTTTCTTTGTTTTCTTTGATCATATCGCATTAAACTCCTCGCCTCTTATGTATGAAGGTTATACAGAGTTTGCAAAACGATCAATGAAGTCAACGTCTCAACAAATAAAACTGCAAGTACGTCTTACAAACACATCTTAATCCTAAACGAGTGACACCAACAAACACGGACACTTAACTCACTCACCTCGGTGCTCCGGAGGGGTTTGCGGCTTCCTGCACCTCTCAGGTGCGACTCCTCGACGGGGCCGAGCGAGAGCCGCTTTAATCTGTCTGCAGAGGAATGCATGTTTGAGAAAGGTGTGTGTGTGTGTGCACGGTTACACATTTATTAAAAGATCCTGTTTTTTTGGGTGTGGGACGGTGAGCCGCCGCATGCTCGTGGGCGTGTGACACAAACTCCCGTGTCCTGGACCAACAGGAGACGTGTGCGCGTGCGTGTGTGTGTGTGTGTGTGTGTGTGTGTGTGTGTGTGTGTGTGTGTGTGTGTGGAGGCAAACACACTCCAGGATCCCTGTGACATGATGTGACTGGAAGATAAACATTACAATGAGCAAACAGATTCTAAGCTAGTGGACTTTTAATAGTTGGTTGTGTGCAAAGGAACTGTTGGAGTTTATTGATTTCACTGTGTTTACGACACAAAGGGAGTGTCAGTAGTTGGGGTCTAGAAATCATCACACATGCTACGGTTTTCACCAATTAAAACTAGAATAACGCAACTTGTGGAAGGCTGATGTTTTGCACATGATGGATTTATCAGGACTGGAAGTTTACCTGCATGGGTTCCATGAATATGACAGACTCAAGTGATGCTTGGCTTTCAAACCTGTTTCGTCGAAGCATTACGTGTATTTATTTTGCTTTACAGCTGGTCTGGGGGGGAAACCCTTGTTTGATATTATCTCTAACGTCAGTGACTGAAGACTTTACATACGTCCACAGGCTGCTGCCATCAGCAGATGTATTTACTGTAGTAGTACTACTGTGTGTCTGCTACGCAGCACTTTTGCCGTATTGAGTAAAAAGAACAAGATCAGCAAAATCTGAATGTGATTTCAGTCTATTTTCAAAAGAGGATTCAAATGAAAGGTTTAACATGATTGTACATTTGTTTGTTCAGTGCTCGGCTGGCTATCGGAGGAGGATGTGGGCAGAGCAGGTTATCGGTGGCTCTTTCTTATTGTCCCTCCCTTTGCTGCTTAATTAGGATTGTAACAGAATGAAACAAATGAAAACACATGCGATCTGGTGCTCTCTCTCACAGTCTGATAAGAACACGGTTACACATCTTCAGCCCTAACTGTGTTTTATTTCATTTTGGTGATTGTGAAAAGAACGTAAAAAAAAATAAAAACCAACCAACAGTCTCTAGTTTTGAAGAAAAGCCTTTATTTGCTATTCCTAGAACATGCTTTAGCCAGGTGGAAGAAGTAGTAGGTGCCCATACATGCAGAGCCACAGAGTCATAGGAGGAGTTTGTCCGTCTACTGTTCTGCGAGAGCCGCCTGTCTGGGGGTTCATGTCGAGGAACGGGGGGGGGGGTCTTTTTTACTTTTCGGGTCGGGTCGGGTCGGGCAGGCTGAAGGAAGGCTTAGTGCTGGATCCTACGGATGGACTGCACCTGGTTGGTGTGCGCCTGGGTGCTGAACTCGTTGTACTTTCTGTACTCGCCTTGGTGTCTGTCTCTCTCCAGGATGTACTGGTAGCCACGGTAACCAGGGAACTGGTAGGCCACCCAGCTGCACACAGAGAGAGAGAGGTCAGATCCCAGAGAGCGATCTGCTTGATGAATGACAGCTAGCATTTCTACAACGTGACCAAAGAGACGGACGCCGGCGTGTGACTTACGCTCCTGAGTTGACTTTGATGGAGGGCACCTCCTTGCTGCACCAGCCCATGGCCTGTAGGGAGGGGTAGTCGTCACACATCTCAAACTTCCGGCCCTGGAAGTCCTCGCACTCGTACAGGGTCACCTTGCTGTCGCTGTGGTTCTGCGGAGAGGAAGCAGGTCAGCCACCGAAGAAGAAAAAAGCCGCCGAGCGGGACCAGCGGAACTGGACTTACAGCGCACTTGATGGGCCTGAAGGAAAGCATGTGCTCGGTTCTGTAGCTGCTGTTTCCACTCCAGGCCTCGTAGCGAGGGTAGTCTCCCTTCTCCAGGATGAACTGCTGTCCCTGGAACTCGGGGTACTCGAAACCCACCCAGCTGCAGTGGAAAGACGAGGCGCAGGGACGCGAGGGGGGGGGCGATGGGGAAAGAGGGACAAGGATTGAAATGCTGAGGTTAAATGAGCTGACATGTAGAATAGCTCGAAATGGATAATTAATAACTTATTGATAGAATTCTAAAATACAGACTACAAAGAACCACTAAATAAAAATGAGTTTTAGGGCAACAACGCTGGATGCCACAGAGCCCAGAGGACGGCTCCGGGAGAAAACAAAAAGCAGCTTCTTTTGTCAAAGGGAGCACAAAGCAAACATGAAACACTGCTGCTGCTGCGGCTGCTGCACCCACGGCTTTTTATCTGATCGCCAGTCAGTCAGCCAGCCGCTCGGGCTCATAGCCGCCAGCTGCACACGTCCAACTCATATCACAACAGGGATACACTTGGATGCATGCGCACACACACACACACACACACACACACACACATGCAAACGATCCATGCCAAGTAGCGATTGCAATAAGAGCTGTAATTCATGGGTTTGGTTGTTCTGACTCTGTGTTTAGGCCTTTTGGTCTTTAATCAGAACTGTTCAAGCAGATGAAATTAGAATTGCAAGAGGAGCCAATGATGTATTTCTTTGAAATACTGTTATGGTTTTGTAAAATGTCATTTTTAAGCAGCAATGTGTGTTCATTTAAGACTACAGACCAACGAGTGTGGAATATCATTCCCGCCGCTCTCATTATGTATTCGGTTACGTACAAATTTCAACCGGATTCCAGTAAAATCACAACACTGTGTGTGATCCACAGAGAAGACGGAATGAGGAGGTCAAAGAGGAGGGTTCCCTACGACGCGAGGTGGACTTACGGTCCGTTCTCCACCTTGATGGAGCGGATCTTGTTGAAGCCCCTCTCCATGATGTTCTGGCACTCCAGCATGAACTCACAGCGCTTGCCCTGGAAGTTCTCCTCCTCCCAGACTGTGATCTTGAACTGGCCCATCTGCTCCATCTGTTGAGTGTTCATGGCTGCTGCTTCTCCCTTGTGTGTTACTCTTTGACAAGACGGAAGGTTGAAAATAATCAGTGCGAATAGATGGAAAATCAACTCAAAATCACAACACGACCTGCTGACCAACAAGCAAATCATTTCCACCCAACAGTGTCACAGGAAGGGAACTATTCCTGTCATTCATCATGTTTCCATTCCTCTGTAGTTTAGATTTGTCTCTATTCCCATATGAGAGATGCAATCTAGAGTAACGGGCAGGTCTCCTTTCCCTTGAATGGTGCAACCACTGTTACGTAAAGTCAAACATCTGCCGGCATGCTGTCTGCAACACCAGAATAACGGATCGCTTCTAACAGGAGTCGCTGACCGTGCTTTGCTTAAATCCTTCAGCTTTGAAGATGAAAACTTAAAACACATTAAACGTCTGGTTTGAGAAGAAGATTGGTTCGATATCTACAAGCTAAACACGGGCACAACAGCAAAGCCCCATCTTGCCAGCATCTCCCGCTAAAACGACTATTTTCCCCTTAAAGATGAAAGCAATGATTTTTTTTTTTTTTTTTACTTCTTAGCCAATCAAGTCTCAATCAAATTGCATGTCTGTCTATCCGACACTGTGGGCAGCATCTGGGTGGCCGTTGGGCTCCTCCCCGGCACACGTAGCCGTCTCCCCATTGCAGCCTCTTGGCTGGGTCTGAGGCCGCTTGCTGATATACTCACAGACGGTACTGAGGTGGGACAGATCCAGTGTAATCAATGTCGGGGGAGAGACCCTCGCCCGTGTTTTTATAGGGCGCGGGCCCACTGGACCTGCGCCGCTCCATTTGCCCCGGCAGCCTTGCACACTCAGCAGCTGAGCAGGGGGCCAGCTGAAAGGGAAGCATTAGCCCGGCGCTTTGTGGAGGCTCCAGAGCGCCATTGTCCTCAGAGCCTCAAACTAACGCAGTCATCAATCTGGCAGCCGCGGCCGGTGGCGAACGGACCCGGGAGCACACAATGGTAACGCACTGACACAACAGTTTGATTGGTGTGGCAGGATAATGGACACATTCTGGGAGCTGATCCCCTCTCTCTCTCTTTCTCTCTTTCTCTCTCGGCTGAAGGTAAACTCAATGCGAAAGTAGAGGTGGGCACAAGGCGCAGGGACACGGGCTCCTTCCATCTGATGGGCGTCTTCATCTACTGCAAGAACTGCTGTAGTAAAAAAGCTTCAAATAGCCGTATTATCCGACCAGTGCTTTTGGGGAACCTGACTTACGCTCCTGATTATAGTTTGTCACAATATATGCTTCAAGAAAAGGCATCGGTGGCACTGTAGCTTATCCAACACACTCTGATCACATTGTAAAACATCAAACTGTAAGATGGAATTGTATTTCTATTCAATTGCATTTTTATTTGTAGCTTAATACCTATTTCAAATGCCCATGATGATTCAATATATGTGATTTTTCTGAATAAATCTTATCTGTACGTGTTTCTTTTGCTTTTCAAATAGTGGATTCAGAATCAGTGAAATAAGATAAGTTAGATGTTAGCACCTATATTTAAATGCCTAAAATACAGGCATACCAGGTTCAAATACAGTGTTTTGAAGTGTCATCAGTTTCTACCATTACTACAATTGATTATGGATTTGTCTTCATTGTTAGACTTCTGCAAACAGCTACAGTGTATTTTAGAAAAAATACACCAGCACTAATATCAACATTAGCGAATAAAAAACATTTCATAGTCATCTTTTATATTATTCTTTTGTGGGCCTCTAACAATAATTTTATGTTATCAGTATTGTTTCTTTCCCTTTGTGTGAGGCCACATTCAATATAATAAAATACACATTTAGATTTCAACATTACAGATAGTATATGATTCAAAACAAACAAATATTAAATAGCAAATTTATATACGTGACGATTTGGAGTGTGATGACAACACATGAACACTAGCAAACCATCAGTTCCAGATCCACATTTAAAATTTAAAAATCAAGCTTTCCGCACATTAATTATATTCCTTCACTTGTATTTAATCCTGCACGTTTTGAAATTATTAAATGCACCACTGTTTCAACAGCGTTGCACAACGACAAGGATATGAGGGATTTGCTACATTCATCATTGGTGACATCTAGCGGTCAATGTGTGCATTACACTCAACCTAAACCTGTACAATTGGCCTGCTATTTTTTGTTTGGGTGGCAAATAATTATTGTTATAGTACAATCATTACAACAGAGCAAACTATAGACAAGGGACTGAAATAGAGTTCATTTGGAAGTATCGTCAGAAACAACTATGACAGACGGTGTATGTGTGGCTGTGTGTCACTTTTCCACATTCTGGGAGCTAAAACATGAACACAAGAATATAATCTCCTCAAAAGTCAACAGAGTAAATATATGTGTGTGTTTTCCCCCTGTGGACATGTGTGAGCTGTTGACTTGTATGAACAGCTTCCTCATTGTCTTCTGCTAACTCATTCATTGTCCCTGTCCCTCCATATGTCTCTTCATGAGTGTGTGTGTGTGCGTGTGTGCGTGTGTCATCAGAGGCTTACACCCAGAGCAGGTGATCAGCAGGTGAAAGAACAGGTTTATATAGACACAGATGTTGTGTGCGTGTGTGAGTGTGTGTGTGTGTGTGTGTGCGTGTGTGTGTGCGTGTGTGGGTCGTGCATTTCCTTTATGTATGTACACACCCGATGTAGTTCATGTAGCACACACTCACAGGTCTTTTTCACTTTTACTCACCATGTCTGACAAGATGGATCAGCAGTAAATCCTTACCTTCACGTGCATGCACACACACACACACACACACACACACACACACACACACACACACACACACACATGTATGGCTAATTTAACTGTAAAATACACCTGAGGGGTTTTGCATCTTTCGGGGACAGTGTGGTCCAGTATAGAGCTGGTACTGTTCTACTTTGAATCCTTATCTTGCCATGTAAAGAATCCACTCTTCTCTTCTCACTGCTCACACGAGACACTAGGCAACTAGTTACATATTACTAAGGATCACAGGTGGAATTAATCCACCAGAACATTGGTCATTTACCAATTGATGCACATTCAACTCACAGAGTAAAATGCAAAAACACAACTGGTGGCAGTTTTTTAATGGTTTATCAAACAGTACACACTGCTGGCTGGTTCTTTATTAACACTAAGTCATGAGTTAATTTCCAACCCCACATGTTGGCATCATCCAATTCATTATTGTAATCATTCAACTTTTGTCTGTTTTTTATATTCACAGTATAAGTGCGTTAACACTGCTGATTATATTTTCTTTTCTGGGTCAACGTGAGTTGGAACCATTTGAATAGTCAGTAAATGCAATTACATTAACACAACCGCGTTTGCATGCAAGTGCACACACACGCACACACACACACACGCACAACCCACACAGCGACATACAGATTGCACTGAATAAATGCCCTCTTTCAGGTGGAAGGTTACCGTGGAGATTAAACCAGGTAAGGATGACACGCGAGCTGGACATCTGCTCCCACCGCCTCTACTTGTCCCCACTGATCTCTGCGCGGACACTCAAGCAGCTTGATTTACCTGCAGCAAAAACCTCAGACACGAGATGCTACGTAGCTTTCGATGTGTGTTGTGCTCGGGCACATGAGGCACATAGAAAGGCATCGGTATTGAATTGTGATGACAGACGCACACAAAGCAGCGTGTTGCCGTGGTCGGATGCTTATTCATTTTCTTACAAAAGAAAACGTCCTTCTGAGATCTCAAATGTTCACCTGCATCCAGAAGCACTCCCTGATATCAGAGAGAGAGGAGTAGCCAACCGGGAGCAGGAAAGAGGCTTGAGCATTTGCATGACTCTTCATTATCAGTAACTGACAGCAGAGGAAACAGCACATAGCCCATAGGCAGCACACACACACACACACACACATACAAAGCCTGTGGGGAGAACTCGCTTTCCCATTTACAGATAGCAGCAAACAGTTGGGCAGGCAGCACAAATGTAATCATGTCCCCTCTGTACAGATGCAAACAACGGCCTCGATGATGCTCAGGCAAAGCGGTGGAGCAGAGCACGGTTAGGGCCACGGGCGGGACGGTACGAGTCTCTAAACTAGATTATACTGCCCAAAATCACAATATACGGATGTGTCCTTATTTCCACTGACAGGTTAGACGCTTTAATGAAGTAAAGATGGACAAACCAAATAAAATCAACAGAGGAGGGATCAGGCTTACAAGCAACACATGTACAATTAGATGAAACTATATCAAATCGCAGTGAATATAAAACTCAAATTAACCAGGACGGGATCAAATGGGAAACGTTCAAAGGCTCATTGAAAATGTTTGTCTTGTACAATATGACTAATGTGACTAACACACACACACACACACAAAGTTTAAAAGTTTCTAAATTGTTGCTTTGAAAATTCCCACTGAGAAATTGCCGCTATCGCTCCACGAATTCAATGCGATGTTTCCCACTGGTGTCACGCCCTTTGTAATTGTGATCGATTAAGACGCTTTTATTTTACAGAAAACAAACACCTGCCGATCCCTCCACGTCGCTCCGTTTGCTGGGGAGGGTGCAGCAGCAGCAGCAGCAGCAGCAGCAGCTGGGATAGTCAGTTTAAATTGGGGCAAGGTAACCAGGATACTGAGAAGTGCAAGCTTCCCTTTCCACCGGCGTTAAGCAAATATTGACCGGAGCTTAAAGCAGAGGCAAATATGCTCTCAGGTAAAGGCCGGGCCGCCTTTTAACTAATGCCTCTTCTCGTATGGTGAGAGGTTTCTGTACGGCAATAAAGAGTGAAGGGGATCCACCAAAATGAACACAATGTCAAAGGACGATTCTGCCAAGTGGAACAGAGGTATTAATTATGGGTATATGTTGTATGTAGATAAATTGCTTCAGTTTTCTTCATATAAATTCATTATTTCTATAAATCAGTCTGGGGGTTGTAATCTGTTTGTGTATGTCGGGTTATAGCTCTGAATATAGTTTTATTTTTCATTGTTGCTTTAGATGGAATTCATCAAATTGAACCCGGGGATGCAAAATGTTTGAATCAAGGCGAAATCACATAACTGCAACATCAACTTTATTTTCTGAAATCCAAACGCAGGACAAAAGGAAAAAACGCCAGCGTTCATTTACATCCCACAATCAGGCACTGAAAAGCAGATATACTCCTGAACACAGGGAACAACACGTATACTGACTTGTAAAAGTGTGATTGATGAATGCTGCATCACGGTGTCCAACTGGCAGATGGCCCCTATCAGATGTCTGGTGTGTGTTTGTGAGTGGTTAATGTTTATTTAATGATTAACATAGGCTGCCATTAAGCCCGTCTCTCTGCTCGCCTGCAGCCTCAGTGCATGACGTGGGAGATGGACGGTAATGAACAGGCCTCCGCTGGAAAATACAACATGAATGTGCAAAAGGAAAACGCACACACACAGACACACACAGAAAAACACACACGTTATGCAGATGATCTTCTCCGTCGTGGATGTCAGCCTTTTCGGTATACTTTCAAAGTCAACCAGTGGGAAGCTCAAACTGGCACTTAAAAGGTGAGTTGAACCTCTGGCTAGAAAACAACCACAGGGAAACACTTGGGCTCTTTTCTTATGTAACTTTGTTTCAGTTGCAGCATCGATACTGACCCGAGAATCACGCAACAAAGGCCGTGTGTGAGTGGTTGAGACGGGAACTCACATCACTTTCACCTTAACCGCAAATATGAACTGGATCTTTTTTGTTACCAATGAACAATCCTTGCTTGATAGCCTGGATCACTGACTCAGACCAAATGAACCGGCTGGAAGCCCTTTTTGTGCTTTCTGTTGTTAATTAAATAAAATACATTTAAAAAGTCTTTTAAAATGAACCTACCCTGTAATTATTTTTCCCCTTCAGTCCTTCAGATGAATGATTCGGACTCCAGGAGACAGGCAACATGTCGTACAAGGCAGACATGTCTTTCTTTAGCCAGCTGCATGCAAATAAGGGACACACAATGCCGCACACCTGGTGCTTCAGTTAGCGAACTACGCTGTCGTCACGTCGCCTTAGATAAAGCAACGGCCCAGACTCCTGAACCTCATGCCTTGTGTGCTTTTTGGTAATATCTGACATTTTTGAATATTTTCCAGACGTTTGGTTGCTGTGGTTTGGCTCTCGTCACCCATCTCTTAAAAACAAACTTTAAAACAAACGACTCAAACAAAAAGAACAGCACTCCATCGTTTGTCTGAGGTGACACTCGACAGCGAAACAGGCTCTGTGTCTTTCCCAGTTGCCGACCCGTACCTGCGTAACGCGAGCCGAACGAACAAAACTTCATCTTCAGGTATTGTACGTGTGGCTCAACGTGAAGCAAATACGGACGTGAAAAGGTCACAGAAAAAGGTCGCCGTGCGCCGCGGGCGATCGGGAGGTCGAGGCCCGCGAGCGAGTCGCAGCTGGCCTCTCCGCCGTCTTGGGTAACCCTCTGCAGGAAGATTTGGGAGAAGTTAGAACTCCACGCAGGTGGAAGAGCGGATACTGGTGAGGAGAGGAAACAAAGTGAACCAAGAGCCTGACAGCCTACCTTCACCAAAAGCAGAGCGCCGGAGGCCGAGACGGTGCCAAGCTGGGTTCACCTTCTCCACGCATTGAATGTGTGGGGTTTGTGTCAGGTATACACCTTTTATACCTCTACATGCTCTCTCTCCCTCTCTCTCTCCCTCTCCCTTTTTCTCCCCCCACCCCTCATGCATGAAAACAACACGGATGATCCTCGGGGCATGCACAGACACCTGTCGCATGGTGCGTTGCTCTGATCCAATATTGACATGAGGGGGGAGGGGTGCTCGCGCACACACACAGACACACACACACACACACACACACAAAGTGCATTATTCTTTCCAGCCCTTTTCCTCCCTCCAAAGCGCCCTCCCTCCCTCCCTCCCTCCCTCCTCTGTGCCAGGCAACGTGTCTGACCTTTGTGCCTGCGTTGATCTGCAGAAAGGTGCATTGTAAGGCCGCTACCTGATGACTCAAATTCGAGTTGAGCGCGTTCGGGCATCATTTGCATGTCATATGCCTCGCAAATGACTCTCCGCTCACGGTGTGGCTCACTTTGTTCCACATCTTCTGGGGAGAAAATCTCCCTGTGTAAGGAAAATGCTCGCGAGTTCCAACTGCCAGCGGAGAGAGAAAATCCACCCCGGAGACGCGAGGCAACAACGATTTAGGCAAACGCGAACTTCTCCAAGCAGGAGACCAGAGGAGGAGAAGCCTTTAATTAATGACGTTTGTTAGGCAGTTTTTTGAAGCCCAACGACAGCAGTGTTCTTCTCTGTGTCGCCATTTTTCTTTGGCTGAATGGCCTCTGAATAACAAATTTAATCATGTAAGCTGTATATCTTTCTGTGATTTAACAAGCCAACAGGTCGGGGGAAGTTTTTTCATTCCCAGACTGACAACTGAACCGGTTCCACAAAACATGAACAGTGATGGATGGAGGGACTTTCCTCCAGGGTGACATCGCTCCTTCTCTTTACTATTTGGGGGTTGGGCCTTTGTGTTTGTTGTCCCTTTGAAATGGTACCGTGATGATGTCACTATTTATCTTAAAGTGGGTTTTAGTAAGATGATATAATTTAACAGGCATGGGAGGTGCATTAAACGATTGTCAAGTTGCATCATGGGAATTGAAGGAGCCAAGTTTGACTAATGCTGATGAATTAAAGTTGGGATATCTCAGGCTCTGCTGCTTTATTGAATTATTACAACAGCATTCTCACTTTATTGGTTTTTGATCATGACTATGTCATGTGATTTAATAGCAAATTTGTGCCTCCATAATGGTGGGTTCTTGTAGAAATAATTAAACAAATTTCCTGTGATAATGCAATTTTTTGAGAGACCCATAATTAACACTGTTAGCTTTTAACGTTCCAGCGACACAGTGAGTCCAGGTTCCCCACTGGCTCTCAACCTTTTCCGCTGATTACATTTAAAGCTCAAGCACAGCACTCACACACCAGAGGTAGCCGGTCTGCTCTGTGGCCTCGGGTAGCTGCCTGGTCGATGTGGTACGTTCGCGACGTCTCGATCACAACGTACACTCAGCTGTAGGATAATCAGCATTTAGGTATTGAGGGTAGAATGCAGTATGAAGATCAAAATAGCAGATGTCCAATGGCATCTTGCTTGCAAAAACAAATAACAGTATAGTATGTTTTTATTTGTATAATAGTGGAGCAACAGCAAAAGTGAAAAGCTCATGTGAAAAGTAAGTAAGTTTTTTTTTATTGTAACATTTATCGAAACAAGTATCAAGTCTCAGCTCCCCGAAACACATGACATGTCTTTATTAATGCAGACGGAGGGAAAAAAAAAAAATCAGATTAACTTTACATCCATTCAACCAAGTGATAAGGTAATGAATGATTGATGTAGCTCTATTAGTAACAGTTATGGCTCCCGGTGACACTGTAAATAAAAAGGTTTGCTTCTGAAGGGAGGAACCCCAAACTGACAGGAACTGCCCTCGTGTCTTAAAACAACTCGTCTCTTCTTACAAAGAACAAGTGATATCCCTGATCAAGTCACATGACTGAATCGGTCTAGGAAAGTGATTTCTTTACCTCAGTATTTTCCATTTTAAGTAAAAAAACAACAACAAAAACATTTGAATTAAGACTAAAAATAAAGTCCCCACCATATTGAAACGTGACAGAGGAAACTGTTCCAAACCAGACTTTATTAATAACCTAAGGGAGTTGAAAAGACCAAAAAGTGTGTCTGACATGATGCTTGAGATTCAGGTTGAGACCACAGCAGAATATTCCCCAAATTACAAGCTCAAAAGTCAAAACGGTTACAAAGTTAGACTGTTATTGCAACGGTTGCTTTAACGCAAACACAGAAACGAAGAGCTTCATCCTGACTGGAAGCTGGTGTCCCTCTGAAGGGAACAACTCCTCCCAATCCTGCGTTAACAAACAAATCCCCAGGGGAATTTTAGGAGTCCGGAAGCTAGCAAACAGTTAGCAAAGTTAGCAAACAGAAAGACTGGCATTTCAAGATAATCCATTTTATCTCTAACTCTTAAATGGTAAGGAATACTGAAACATTTCCCCAAATCTGTTTAATCCTGGTCGGATGTACCAGAGCAGACTTCAGGTCCAGGTCATTGATACGAGGCGAATCAGAGGAACACAGTTGAAGCAGCTCATCAATACCGAGGAATCAAAGGTTTGCGTTCACGTGCGTTTCAACAGTGAAGTGAACACGTGAATCACTCGCGTTCCTTTAAAAAGAGAAAATACTTAGTGGTCAGCCGCAGAAGTCTTCATTAAATCTGAAACCCGACGCAACGCTGCGCCCTCCTATTGGCCACTGTGGCCCAGTCTCTTTGTGTAGGCCTCCCAGCCCGACTTCCTGTACGATTCAGCCGCCTTCAGCCTATCGGGGGCCTCCAGGATCCCCCGACCGACGACGATGACGTCAGAGCCTTTCTCGTAAAGGACTTCCTCCGGGGTGGCGTACTGCTGGCCCAACCCATCGCCTGCGCGAGAGGGGCGGTTGAAAGGTTGTTTGTTCAGGAGTAAGTGGGGGAATATCAATAGAGCGTTATTTACTATACTATAGCGCCACCTTGTGTTCAAGAGGAGCTACCGCACCAAAAAGAAACCATTTTTTTCCTTTTTTAATTAAAAAAAAAAAAAGAATTCAAATGTACCTCCGGCCTGCATCTGGACGCCGGGGGTCATGTGGATGAACTCCGGCCTCTCGGTGATTTTAGAGCCACAGATGAACCCAATCACAAAGTCGGGCTGCTCCTCCGCCATCGCCAGCTGGGAAGACGACGGGTAACTGAGATCAACTGTAAACCGGTGAGAAACAAACAAAAAAGACACCGGAGAGAACGCCGAGGTGCGCTTACCACAGCCCGTGTGTATTCACCGGTAGCCAGTGACCCCTGGGAGCTCATCTGTGCTATGAGCAAGCAGCCTCGGCCCAGAGGCTTCCCGACTGCACTCAGGCCCTTCACAACCCCGGGACCCGGCACCGCATGGGCGTTCACCATGTGGGACCAGGAGGAGATCTGGTACAACCCACCTGGGAAATGGATGAGGAAGGTGAAGACACCCAATTCCTCCAAAGGGATCTTGAAGCAGAGCGCATGTCACACGTTGGAGAATACGGGAATGGCGTTACCTTCGTACTGGTGCTTGACCGTGTTCCCGATGTCGGCGAACTTGCGATCTTCAAAGACGAGGAAGTTGTGTTTCTCGGCCAGCGCCTGCAGCTTCTGGCCGAAGGCCGCGGTGTAGTCCTGTGGGCAGACGCGAGACGTGCATTCAACTTTTCCCGGATTCCCCACAGTGTCGCGCTTGTGAAATATGAACCGGCGGCACGGCCCACCTGCAGGATGTCCACGTGGGTCTTCAGCACGCAGATGGCGGGGCCCAGAGTGTCCGCCAGCCGAAGGAGCTCCTCGCTGCTCGTCACGTCGGCGGACACGCAGAGGTTCGACTGCTTCTCCTCCATGGCGGTCAGCAGCCGGGACGCCATAGGGTGGACGTCTGCGGACGAAAGGGGGCGGGGGTGAAGAGCGCCACTACACAAACCCCACCGGGGGGGAGGGAGGGGGCGGCTACATACTTGGTAGTTTGGCTCGGTCTGCGTAGCTCAGCTCCGCGCTCCTCTGCACGCACGTCTTCTTGGGGGGCGGGAAACCGTTGCCATTATCGTCCTTGCGGCTAGAAGACGAGGTTGCAGCGTCAGCGCGCACGTGCACACAAACTGTCCTCGCCGTAAAAAAAAAAAAACGAGAGGCTGCACCTGAACATGTTGTTTTCCAGGATGAACGTCCTCACGCTCTGGGCGGTCTTGGCGTCGATGCGGTCGGCCGCCTGCAGCACCTCGAGCAGCTTGAAAATGGAGACGAGGGAGTGGAGCCGGATTCCCCGAGACGCCAGCATCTCCGCGGCGCCTTGCTCCCTGTCCATCAGCACCACGGCGTCGGTCACCTGCAGCGAAGCATTTAAAAACCATTAACTGCCACGACTTCACGGGCTCGTAAGACCGTCACAGTGATCATTCTGTAACGCACCTTCAGTCCCTCTTTGTAGAGCACCTCAGCCGTCTCCAGGATGCTGCAGCCGCTGGTCACCGTGTCCTCAATGATCAGACACGTGTCCCCCTGTCGAAATGAGCCCTCCACCATGCGCTTGGTTCCTGGACAGGGTTTCAGAAAAGGAGTCTCATCAGTCCCTTTTCCATACAAAAATGGTGAGTCGTACACTTTCACTCTTACGCGAGGCCTCTGTAGAATGTACGGCCTACTCTAAAGACAGCATGGACCTCATCTGCGTTTGCAGATGCACGTGGAATGGTCTGGCCGGCTCTATGGGGCCCGAGAGGCTGTCAAACGCCATTGCAGTAGGCTCAACGTCCACTGTTTTTTTTTTTTTTTTTTAACAAAACGATTCACTTCTCTGCAGCCAGTTTCGATCAGCTCTGGATCACAAAAGTGCTGTTGTGTTGTTTGGAAATCTTAACTTTCAAATCAGGTCACCGTTGTTTGTATGATGTGTAACAGTCCCTGAAAGGTCAGCAGAGAGAAGATACTAACATCGCTGATGAGAGATGTGCACCAGTGAGCCTTTAGACCCACAAGGGCGCAACAGGGTTTCAAAGTACCCTGATGATACAAAACCAATACTATGGATCTTGTCACGTGAGCACCAACCATAGTCCTTGGCCTCCTTCCGCCTGATGAGCATGGGCAGTTCGTGCCTGGAACAGATGATGGTGGCCAAGGGCAGGGCAGTGTACGGAACCCCGCACAGGGAGTCAAATTGTAGTCCCTCGTCCTGCACTCGCTGGTAGATGAGACTAGAAACCTGCAGATATCAAGAAAAAGAAAAAAGAAATTCAATAAATCAGAGGCAGAAACTATTAGTTGCGCGCGCAGGGATTGTGCCCGGGTGAGACGCGAGAAGCACCCGCAGGAAGGCGCAGCACGTGCTCACCTGGTTCATGAGCGCCGGGTGGGACACCAGGACCCTCAGGTCGATGTAAATGGGCGTCAGCAGGCCGCTCTTCAGCGTGTACTCTCCGAACTTCACCCCGCTCACCTCGTGGAGCTTCAGGACCAAACGTTCAACGCAGCCGTCTTCCATTTCGTCCGTCTCGACACAAGTTCCTCTTTGGAAGTTGAGTTGCCTCCTCTTGTGTTTGGGGCTTCCTGACGGGGACGACACTTCCGCTCTCGTTTCAGAGTAAAAGCATCGTCCCTGACTGTCACGTAAAGAAGTTCAGCAAATTATTTACGCCCTTTATTTTTTTGTAGTAGACTCGACTGAGTAATTAAATGAAAGTGACACGTCTTACAGTTTGAACTTGGCTCTTATTGTGAAATCGGTTCCTACGCGTTCTTACCGAATAAATGTGGCGTCCTTTTTTGTTTACCTTTTTTACTTCTCCATGCTTTACCTGGTTACCCCGTTTGTAAAGTCGATATCGCAATGACTTGTGGATAATTCCCCCGTGCAAAGTTATCATCCGGTGTTTATTAACAGGACGGGTTCATAAAGGGCTCAGACTGTCTCCTAAGGGTGTGACAGATTTAAACATTTCACGGAGGTAGCGGGAGCGCGCCTAAAAATCCGTGGGATCGGTCCATCCATTTCCCGCAATAGTAATCTGAAAGAAAGGCGTTAACCGGAAATCAGTCGGGACCAACCACAAGGCTGGGAGTGTGATTTCCGGTGTAGGGTTTATGTTTGCTTTTCAAAATAAAAGCATACGTCCACACAAGAATACGTGTAATGTTTTAGATTGTGCCTATATAATCGGTACCCAAGGACACAACCATCAGGATGCAACTCGACAACTTTTATGAAACTTCTTCTCACACGTATATCATAGCATCATATATCAGTGCTCCCTTACCTGGCCATAGCCGGCCACTGCATCTTCCCCTTTTAGATCAAAGTTTAACTGCTTTGTCAGAACCTCAAGATGACAAAGTGCATTCAACAATTATAATTTCAGGAGTAAAATCCTTATTAAAACGTAAAAGTCTAAACTGAGAAACTACCAGAAATGATACTACTACTACTATATACTGTAGCTATTGTATGAGATTACTCACTAGATGCATTAAATCAGAACATTTGAGATCAGAGCTTTTCAAATAGACATTTCACTTTTAAAACTTTCTTTCGTCTTCTCTTCTGTCCTTCATAGCGTGTGTTTAGTGTTCAAAAGGGTCCAGTCCTAGAAAGTCTCCCTGACCCCGTCATCGACATGTCACTTGATGTCCTCCATCCGGGGTCTCCACCTCGTGTGAGCGTGGTGTGGGTGCAGGACCCACAATTGGCCCTCTGGTGCGTGTGGGTCTGATCCACAGCTGCTGTCCAGACTGAAGAGGTGGCAGGATTTTTGAGTCTTCCGCTTCAACGTTCGCTGCTGTTGCAGTTTCAACGCAGGGTCCTTTTTCTCTGAATTGTTTGAGATCAGGCCCCTGTGGTTGTAGCTGCGGCGGTGACACTGGGACTGGTGTTCCGAGTCTCCTCCCTATCAGTAGTAGGACTGGGGAGGTCCCGTGTGCCAATGGAGTAGCCCTGTAGGCCAGCAGAGCTGCAGCTTTTAAGACGTTTTGGCATTGCGTAAACCGACCACAATCCTGTCTCGGATCATCTCTTCACGCAAGACGCCATATTTGCAGCTTTCAGCTAGCTGCTGTGATAAAGTTCTCTGCGGATTCGCCAACTTCCTGACTATTAAACTTGGCTCGTTGAAAAATGACATTATGCACTCTTACAAAATGTCAATCAAAAGCATTTTTTACCTCGTCAGTCATTTAGTGACATAGTCAACTAGTTGTCTGTGCCACTAGAGTGGACTCTGTTGTGGGTTATGAACCTCTGACACCACGTCTTGTGCCTATGCACTCGGTACTCAAGGACAGAACCATCAGGATGCAACCCCCCCCCCCCCGCCGCCCCTTATTTGATGAAATTGCACTTTGTTTCTTATTTTTTTGAGTTTGTATCCTTGTGTTTGAAATGCTCTTATTTAAGTCACTTTGAATAAAAGCATCAGCTAAATTACATGTTATGTAATGTGTGGTTCTTACCAGTTATTATCAACTTATATTTTCAGTGTCATTTAATTAATATCTTACAAAAACCAGAGCCTGCTGTCCCTTGCACATCCGCATTATTAATAAGGAAATAAAGAAGAAATTAGTTTTTACTTGTTTTTTTTTTCAGTTTATTAAAAAGATTCATTCCACAGTAGTTCAGATTTTGGCACCAACAATATAAAAACAATTAAAAATAAAGTGTACACCCCAAAAAAGCATTGAATAAAATGCCTAAATGAAAGGGATAAATAAAAAAACTTAATGAATTAAAAGATAAACTTAAAATACAAACATAAATGTAATTGAAATGCACTTCAATTGGAAACGATGGCGGATCCTCCTATAGGCCTACATTGTTGTTGTTGAAATAACAGTTTTACTTTTGGTCCGTCACTTTTGCAGGTGCTATATCTATTTTTAACAAACAACAAGCGTTGACTTGCAGAGCCTACGCCAAAATAATTGCAAGGTAACATTTTGTAATAACAGCAACAGCACTTTCTTTTTTCTTAGTGGCCTGTTGCTCTGCTCATCTGACACTGACGACGGAGCAGCTGATTGGACACTAGTGGTATTTTACCGCGTTAATCTCCTTCATTCCAAAGAAGGTCGGTTCAAGGTATTAAAAACTGTGATTAAAATGTCCGTATAGGGCAGTCAAGATGAAACAGGACAAATGAAAAGATAAGTCATGGAATGTTTATAAATGTTATTTAAATTTTAAAAGTCTTAGCCATACCCCAAAAGGCGCTAGTGTGTGTGCGTGTTTGGTGGTAGGCAGGTGTGAGGTGATCAAGCAGCTGGATTTGTGCTCTAGTTTGATGAAAGTAAAAAAAATTTAAAAAACCCATGGATGAGTAAATCCTGTTTTTATCTATTGACGAAGAAAGCATCACATCCAACGTGAAAAGGTGAGGTGAGCTTTGAAAAGGCACAGAGGTTGGTGTAGGTAGGCGTAAAAGTTTCGTTAAGGCACTAAATTTGGTGAGGGGAAACCTTGAGGGCAAAGATCTGATGGAAATGTCTTCTCCCAGTGAAAACAGAGGGCTTCCTTCTTGAAGTGGTATCAACGCTGCAAGGGGGTCTCAGTCTGCTTCCTCCTTCTTCTCTCATATCTTCCTCTTCTCTACTCTGTGGGGTTCAGAGCGTCGGCAAGCAGCTCCGGCCTCAAACATTCAATCGGACATTGGATGTTCTGGGGCGCAGAGAAGGGCGAGAAGAACGGGAAACAGTGGGAGATATTGTGACGGATTAGTTTCCACTGCAAGAACCGACATTTGGTTTTTAACACGATTCTATTCAAGTTTAAAGTTGTTGTGACTAAGTCTATAGCATGTTAATGCAACGCTTTAGAGCAGAATATTGGGGGCATAACAAGATACCGACCAGTTTGCGTAGAGCGTTTTCTCTGTAGCGGTCGAAGACGTCCGAATGGACCGGTTGAAGGAGGTCAGCGTCCACATCGGTCAGGCCTCCCGGCCTTCTGCAGTTCTCACAACGCCAGCCCTGAAAAGGCAGAGGGACAGGATGAGCACAAGGACGCCATAAGACGGTGGGACACGTTCCCCACGAAGCAGCAGCGAACGGGTTTCAGTTCACACACGCACCTGTTGTCCTCCGTAGCAGGTGCAGGTACAGATGGCGCCCAGGTATTCCTTCTGCCACTGGTTTCCCACCTGGTACATTTTCCCATCGTCATAACACGTCGACTCGTCTGTCGGGGGACAGTTACATATTAACACTGATTCTAGCATTAAGGCGTTTTCCCCAAATTCATTTCCAAAACAGCCAGGGTTCAGTCGCGTGCGTTACTCACGGGGTTCACATTTGAACTCTCCCTTGCCGTTGCCCATGCAGGTGCAGCTCATCATGTGGCCGTTCTCAGCCTGGCGATCCCACTTCTCGCCAACGCGATAGTTATTATTGTTGTCGTGACACCACTCTGAGTGAGGGAAGAGAAATGAGAGGGGAGAGAAAGGGGAAACGGGTGAACAAAAAGGGAGCACGGGAGAAGAGGATACGGGAGAGAAGGCGCCCAAACAGCATTTCCAAAAAAAAAGGTAAAACTTCACAAAAATCAGATTTTCAAATTCACAATCTCGACCAGATCCTTTACATTGGACAGTGCCCCAGTGAGCTTTACTGGTTCCCAGTTGATGACGTACATTGTGCCAGTGGGAACAAACACATATAAACATACAGTCAGCGAAATGACAACAAGCTAATGGATGTCGTCTCGGTTTCTGGTATTGTCGGGTTAGTTCTACGGACAATACAAAAAACAGAGCGACGCTAGTTAGCTTAGCAGAGCAGAGCTGGCAGATAAACATGGGCGGACTAAGGAAAAACCTCATAGTGAAGGAATAATCCTATGAATAATTAATCCATAAAACATTTATCCATTTACAACACTAACGCCGCCCATGCCATCATTTCATTGCTATGCGTCGCAGCACATAGAACTGTACAATTCTATGCCTTTTCAAAATGTAGCTACGGAATTTATACAAGTCCTTTCAAGTCATGTCATTGATGTACCGTTTTGTCTTATAAAATTCCTCTTGATTACAATCACATGGGATTATTTAATGTGTAATTCCATGGTGTGTTTGCAAAGCATGCTGGTTATTAAGCCACTCACTGGATGAATCACATCTAAAATGGCCACTGCCCAGCCCCAGGCAGCGGCACCACAGCTTGAAGCCCGTCTCAGACATGCGCTCCCACTCTGAGCCCACCTCATGGAACGTCTGTGTGAATGTGTCGAAACACACGTCCCGGTTGGTGGAAATGGGGGTGTCACCTGGAACTAAAAAGATGGATACAAAACTGATTTATTCTTTACAAATACCACCACCTTTTACCATCATTAGATGGCTTAGGTCACTAATCATAGAGAGATGGTCTGCAATCATTAAATAGTATGTATACATACATGTGCTACATTAGGGCTGCAAATTAAACTTAAAAGATTTAACTTTAGTCTCAATGTCAAGCGTGGGACTACCGTACCAGCATTGCCGACGGTTACGACTTCCTCCAAAACCTTCTCTTTAGCCCCGCCCCTCATGGCCTCTACCACGACGTTGTAGGAAGCTCCTGATGTCAATCCAATCAACGTGGCGCTGTTGGAGGTTCCAGGAAGACGCATCTATATAGAGGAAGAGAACGATTAGAAAGTGGTTCTTACACCTCCAGCGCTTCGTTCATGTGTGGGAGAGACTGTGTGTACCTGAAAGCCTCTTTCCTCCAGGTCGGTGATAGGATTACAGGACACCTCGTACTCTGAGGTGTGAGGGACACCGGACCAGGAGATGGTCGTGATGGTCTGTGCTTCTTGGGGCCACTCGGTTTCATTGTCAGGGAAACCGAACGCAAGACCTGGCAGCGGACCGTCGCTCACCTGCAGGATCGAACGTACGGTCATGGAACCACCAAACATCCCGTGTGCGACAACATTGAATGAGAATCGACGGCTGTGCATTGACAACCCTGCCGTCTAGCCTCTGTTTA